GCGAGCTAACTCATGGTCCCCCCTCTTCTCCTCTCCTTCTTCCACGTCACTCAAACCGTACAAATCTCATCATTTCAATTCGATTCACGCGGTTTTCTTCCTTTATTTCTTTTGTTTAAACATAAAATCCGAATCCCTTAGATAAATGTTGGAAAATGGGAGCCGTTGGATTAAATTTTGATCTAATACTTCCATTTTCTGATTTTTGTTTATAAAAGCGATTTTCGGATCTTGTTGGGGGCCACACGAGATTTCTTGTAGAAGAGGAGAAGAAGATTCGAGAGGGGCTATATATTTGGAGGTTTTTCAGAGACAGAGTTTTTTTAGAGAAAACTTAGAGAGGAAAATTTCGGAAAAGGGAGAAAAATTAGGGTTCCAAGAGTGAGTTCTTCTTTTCTTCTCATTTGATCCATCTTGAGTTGAGTTTGAATTCCAGGGAGAAAATGACCAAAATAGTCCTTAATGTATAAGGGATGGATTATTTGGTCCTTAATGTATACCACTTAACAGATATGGTCGTCCATGTATACAAAAATTTGACACATGTAGTCTCCAACCTAAAACTAACAGTACACCTCAAATTTCCAGTTAAGTTTAACCACAAATGTCACATACCTCTCGCGTGAGGTGCTATAAACACAACCAGAACATAAAAGAAAGCTTCGGCTTGCTCATCTGAGTCGGCGACACCGATGTATGCTTCAGGCATCAAACCTTTTGCCGGAGAAGGTGATTCAGCAAGGATATCAGGGAGTGTGCTGAGATCTGATAGGATTTAAAGTCTCTGTTAACACGACTCTGTTATCGAATTGACTCTGTTTCCATATCTTTCCTCTGTTCCTCATGTCCAGAACTTTTAATCCATCTTAGGAACTTGCATTGAGCTCAATTTGTCAACACTGAGTCTATAATTTCCTTCATCAGTGATTGATTCGTATTTACAAAAACAACGAACATTGAGCCTATAATTTCCTTCATCAGTGATTGATTCATATTTACAACAACAACAAACACTGAGTCTATAATTTCCTTCATCAGTGATTGATTCGTATTTAACTATGTACTTAATTGGAATAAGTTTCGGATAGTATAAGTGCTCAATAGGAACACCCTTGAGTTTAGGTATCTAAATGAAAAATCGTGCCAACTTTAAGTGTCTCCGTATGTATTCAGCCTTTTTCAAAAAGACAAAAATAGTTTTTCCAAACTAGTTGCATTTCATTTTAAAGCTTTCTTCTATGTCCGATCTTCCCGAACTACGCGAACCTAATTCTCGTCTTTCGGGGCGGGATACGTAGGCAACCCACATAGGGTCCGGTCTTCCTAGTCAGTCTGAGGTTCTTGGCTTCGCGGGGGTCTTAGCCAATTCTTGCTTGTCTAGCCACCTTTGGCCACATCGGCTATTCCTGCAAAATGGGGCCATTTTTGCAAAGGTGCCTCAGTGACCCATGTCTTAGGATCTTGAGTCCACAACCAGGTGTCATATTTCTTTAAGGTCCGTCCTTTTCGAGTTTGCATCTTTAGCCACTTCTGGCCATATCGGCCGTTTTTGCAAAATGGGTCATTTTTGCAAATTAATTTTGGGCCGTGATTGTTGGGAGTTTGAATCCATAAGTATTTCCATGTCTTTGAGGTCATCTTTGTTGAGTTTGCACTTTCAGCCACTTTCGACCCCTCAGGCCATTTTGCAAAAATAGCTCAACCGTCCCCTAGGAAATGTTGTGGTGTCACATAATGTCTTGAGTCATTAACCATGCTTTCTCCACTCAGGTATGGATCCACTTACCAACGCTAGAGTATCAATGGTGGTCAAAGTCCTTAGAAGGCTAGTAAAATGGTGGAACATGTTCACATTACTTGAGTAGCATGGTTTGATGGGTAAATTAGGGACTCTTATTTCTTTGATGGACATCACCCCCCGTCCCGACCTTGTAGAAGCAATGTTGACATTTTGGGACCCACAGGGGATGGTATTTAAGTTTGGGGATCTTGAGATGACACCCACTTTAGCTGAGATAGCCGGGTTGACTCGCTTGCCATACCTAGACAAGAATTTAATTTACACAAGGGCTCATTCAAGCACCAAGTTCCTTAAGATCATAGGGATGGATTTAAAAAATCACATGGGATGTCTGGATCAAATCTTGGGTACCCTTGGACATTTTATTCGAGTTTGCTCGTCCTACCGGGTATGAGACCTTCGTAGATGAATTTTCCATATCATATGATTCTTGGAAAAAGAGGCGTCCTATGGTCTTCGCTATTGCATTGTAGGGTCTCCTGGTATTTCCTTTGGAGGGTAGACATATTAGCACACGTCTGGGGTCAATAGCCTTTGCACTTTTCCATGATAAACACAGTAGTAAGGTCGCCTTGGTCCCGACAATTTTGGCAGAAATCTACCATGCTTTGACCATGATTCGAGAAGGCGGGAGGTTCTTTGAGGGAAGCAACTTGTTGTTGGAGCTGTGGATGATGGAACACTTACATCCCGCCACCATGTTTGAGAAAGATGTGATTGACCGTTGTCTGAGAGATCGAGTGAAGTGCATTGAGCATAGAATAACGTTCGATAAGTTTGCCCTACCACTCGGAGTTCAGGCTTGGATTGATTATTTAGGATCCTTGACTGAAGAGAAGATTTTGTGGTCATACCTTTGGATTGATTTGGACGTGATCTTAGCAGGATCTCACGTGCAAGACTTCTTGGTACTGATTGGACTTTGGTGTGCTAGACCATATACCCCTATTAGAGTGACGCGTCAGTTAGGGAGGCGGCAAGAAGTCCCCTACATTCCTGATTCTCGTGACTTCATTAGGGAGTTTGACACTATGCCTCACAGGGAGGTCGACATCCGGACCTATTGGCGTCATGCAATGAAGATGGGTAGAGATACTTTAGCAGTTGACCTGCATTCACCTGGGTATACCCATGAGTACTTCATATGGCTACAGTCTACTCACCGGGGGGTTAGCAGGCCATTGCCCCGACGTGTTAGAGGAGTATTTGACGAGGAGGCAACCTCACGGATATTGCTTAGACAATTGATGGATCGATTTACCCTAGCAAAGGAGGCCCATGCAGCAGAAAGGGTTGGGGTTTGAGCTACACTTCAGTCATTGAGATCACAGTTGGCAGAGTTGGTAGAGAACATGGGACAGTACCGTGAGTACCTTACTAGAGTCAGCCTTCCAGATGCAGGCGCACATTCCAGGGTTCTCATTCCCAGTTTCGAGGTGTCTTTGCAAGGTATAATACAGAGCTTAGATTCGACAGGATTGACGGGGCCATCCGGATCTTCATCAGACCCATCCCAGCCAGGACCGTCGCATTCAGGAGCAGCTTGAGGAGTCATTCTATTTAGGTGTTTTGAGATTGTTTCATGTTGTCCTTTACTTTCGTGTCTTGTCTATGAGTATTGAGTCCCTTAGGTAGTGTCAGAGTCTGTCGTAGTGTAGTTGAGTCTGTCAGGTCTTTCATTATCGTACTTCCAATGTATTTTAATGCCGAAAAAAATTTCTAATGAAAAATCCCAAAAAGATTTTATTTTTAGTTTATTTTCCATCATTTTTCCAGAATTATGCTTGATCTGATTCATGAGGGACATGATACGTAGGCAACCTACATAGGGTTCGATCGAATCATCATTTAAAAAAAAAGAGAAAAAAAAAGAGAATAAAGTTGTGGGACATGAGAAATGAGAGGAAAGAAAAGAGCGATAAAAAAAAAGAAAAGAGAAGATTGAAATGAACAAAATTGGGATGATGCCATATGACCCTGTGACCCTCAAAGCCATTGTAGAACCGCTAACTGTTGCTAGGTGCATTGCACGTAATGTGATATTATTATCTGATAAATGCCCTAACGCTAACATGGTAGTTTTGTGTGGTTTTCCTCTGTTATCTTTATTCCAATTATAGGAAGGTGGTTAGTTTGTTGGCATCCTGGCAAGTCATCCATACAACACCCGGTCAAAGCGCCAGATAGTCATGGCTAGTAAAGAAACAGACACAGGAGTTGTAGACCCACCAAGGGAAATTGTTGAATCGGAGTCGGAACTGAAAGAGGAAGTCCGAAGGCTGAGGCATCAGATGGCGGAAATGTATCAGGCCTGGATTAAGGGACACACTCCACCTTCATTCCGTACCAACTATGAAGAAAACCCTACTTCCATTCCACCACTGGACCAAGCCCAAATGCCCAGTACTGTTGATCTTTCCCCACAACACGCACCAGGATTCACCCCTCACCACAATTACCCAGGTACTTCGGCCCAAATTTTCCATCCTCTACCAGCCAAAACAACCTCATACCCTGCTCCGACATCTGCTCCTATTTTTGTACCCCCTCCACAAGCTACCCACCACCGATCCTCTAGTGAGCCTGCATTCCCCGCTCCAGATACCCACTACTATCCTCCGGAGCCCACTTTCAAGGCCCCAGATCATTACCCCTACACTCCCCGTTTCGACTTCCCAACTGAGACTGAAAAACCACCTAAAAACCCAGAGCAGGAGGAGATGTTCAGGAAAGTAAAAAGCCTAGAACAATCGTTCAGAAGCATTCAGGGATTGGGAGGCAAGTGAGCATGGCCTACAAAGATTTGTGTCTATTCCCCGATGTTCAGTTGCCCGTGGGATTCAAGATGCCTAAATTCGACTTATATGACGGGCACGGGGACCCGGTGGCCCACTTGAGGGGATTCTGCAGTAAGATGAGAGGAGCGGGTGGAAAAGATGAGTTGCTAATGGCATACTTCAGCCAGAGTTTGAGTGGCGCAGCGTTAGAGTGGTATACACGTCAAGATCATAACAGATGGTATACTTGGGATGATTTGGCCCAAGCTTTCGCACGTCATTTTCAGTACAACATCGAGATTGTTCCAGATCGATTGTCTCTAACTAAGATAGAAAAGAAGCCAGGCAAAAGTTTCAGAGAATATGGTTTTCTCTGTAGAGAACAAGCGGCAAGGGTCAACCCTCCGATGGAGGAGAACGAAATGGTGGAGTATTTTCTACAAGCTTTGGAGCCCATTTACTTTGGCCATCTGATATCAGCCATAGGCAAGTCATTCAATGAGGTAGTGAAGATGGGTGGCATGGTGGAAGAAGGTCTTAAGTCAAGCAAAATCATGAGCTACTCGGCCATCAAAACAACCACCCAAGCCATCCAAAACGGCACCGGAGGAGTGATTGGAAAGAAAAAGAAAGAAGATGTGGCTACAGTTGATTCAGGATCATGGTTTGGACCTAGGGGCCCGTCACACCATTATACCCAGCCTCGACCCTATCACAGAGCCTACGCCCAAAACCTCTATAATCCACACCAACATTACTACCCGTCACCAGACCCTCATATCTCTGTCCACCATGCCCAGTCATATACCCAACCACAATGGCGCCCCCAGTACCACAAAACACCTACCCAGCTCCACAAAATGCTTACCCACCTCCCCGAGCCTACCGAAACCCTCCCGGTCCAGGTTTCCGACCCAATTCAACATTCAAGAATGAGAGGCAGCGGAAGTTTCACCCCGTTGGGGGAGTCTTACACTAGTTTGTTCCATAGATTGATGCAGTTGGATATGCTGAGGCCAATTGAGTCGAAATAGCCGAATCCGCCTCCCAAGAATCTTGATTACTCCGTGAGCTGCGGATATTGTTCTGGAACTCCGGGGCATGATACGGAGAAGTGCTGGCACCTGAAAAATGCCATCCAGGAACTCATTGACACGAACCGTATTGAAATCCAAACCCCGGAGGCACCCAATATTAACCAGAATTCATTACCAGTTCATGAGGGAATGAATATGATCGAGATAGTACACAAAGGTGGGGAGCCCAAGAAGCCATCGCAATCTGTTATGATGATTCGATCCAGCGAGGTCCAGCCGACCAAAGGAAAAAGTATCGCAAAACCAATGGTTAAAGGAGCGGTGAACAAGTTAAGCATGACAAAAGGTGAACCTTCTGTGGTAGTTGAAAAGAGATCCACAAGTGATACGAAGTCAAAAGTGATTGTGCCAGGATTGGCAAACAGGCCTATCTTAATTGTGAAGGGTGCCTGCACGGACCCTGTCATCATCAAGCCTGTAACCCAGTTGCCGGTAATCAACACCAAGGCTGTCCCCTGGAGCTATGAACGGGTGACAGTGACTTACAAGGGGAAAGAAGTGAAAGAAGAAGTCAATGAGGCCCAAGGGCTAACTCGTTCCGGGAGATGCTTTGCCCCGGAAGAGTTGAGAAAAGCCAAGGTATCCAAGGATAATTCAATTCTAGTAAAGAAAGCAGTCACTGAGGAAGAAGCGGAGGAGTTTCTGAGGAAAATGAAAGTACAAGATTACTCCATCGTGGAGCAATTAGGAAAGACTCCTGCTCAGATTTCCTTGCTGTCATTATTAATCCATTCAGATGAGCATCGTCGGGCCCTGATGAAAATCTTGAACGAAGCTCATGTCCCTGATAAAATTTCAGTGAACCACCTGGAGAAGATCACCAACAAAATATTTGAGGTGAACAAGATCACCTTTTCTGATGATGAGTTGCCCATGGAAGGAACTGAAAATGGGGAAAAACTATGTTTACAGCTAACCGAATACTCAATCGAGTTCCCCATAGCAAAACACAATCTATTCCGTGTGAAAATAAAAAGGAAAGAAACCCAACTTGAATTATCTTAAAGTGTGGGGGTGTTTGGCAAAAGTGCAAGTTCCTAAACCCAAAAGGATAAAGATAGGATCGAAAACCGTTAATTGTATTTTCATAGGATATACAACAAATAGTAAGGCATATCATTTTCTGGTTCATAAATCAGAAAATCTCGACGTTCATATTGATACGGTAATCGAATCGGATAATGCTGAATTTCTGAGAATATTTATCCGTATAAAAAGGAATGTGAGTCGTCTAGTGAAATATCTAAGCGACCTCGGGAAGAAGCAAAGGAAAGTACACATAATGAGGTGAATCCAACACGTAGTAAACGTCAAAGGACAACTACTTCCATTGGATCAGACTTTCTGACATTCTTGTTGGAAAATGAGCTTCAAACTTTGAGAGAAGTTACGTCTTACTCGGAAAGAGCAGTCAATAGTGAGATAGAATTCATATTAAATAACCATACTTGGGAGTTAGTTGATCTTACTCTAGGGAATGAACTATTGGGTTCCAAATGGATTTCAAGAGGAAAATAAAAGATGATGGCATTATTGACATGTATAAGGCAAGACTTATTGTCAAAGGATATAAACAACGAGAAGGCCTTGACTATTTTAACACATACTCGTCGGTTATGAGTATTACGTATATATGGATGTTAGTAGCATTGGGTACAGTGTATGGTCTTGTAACCCATCAAATTGATGTGAAGATAACCTTCTTAAATTTAGAGGGAGAAATTTACATGAAAAAACTTGAAGGGTTCGTGGTTCTTGAGGAAAAAAAAAGGTGTGCCGACTTGTTAAGTCACTTTACAGACTAAAACAAGCACCCAAAAATGACATGTAAGATTTGACTAAATAATATTGTCAAATAGTTTCAAAATTAAAGAGTGTAAACAAACAAGTTTACGTTAAGAATACTTCAAATCATATAGTCATTATTTGATTATATATGGATGACATGTTGATGAAATATTTGAAATGTGGGGGCTCTTAGCTATACATGACAAAAATCAATATTAGACGTAATGTCTAAATGATATGATTTTTTAACCCACCAATCCTTAGTGGATATTGATATGATCATCGGTGAATTCATTACTTGTTCATTCTTAATGATGACTAGTGATGAAACCACAAATTCGAAAGTTGTTTACGTGCCTTTCCAAAAACGATTTGTTCTTTCTTGAACATTTATAATGTTTAGCTCTTTTATGAAAAAGTTGTCATCTGGAAGGCTGTGGCTTTTCATGAAAAGCGTGTTTGTATGTTTTATATAAACATGGTTGTTCAAGAACGAATGTATTTATACATTGGTCTATAATAAGGTGAACCAACCAATGAACATAACGAAAATGCATTGCAAGTTGGATTTGTTTCATGAATGAAGGTGTTATAATTTGCATACCATATAGACGTATGAATAATAGCATATAAATGCTTGAAAATGTGGAGTGATTGGCGAAATGTGCTATATATTAAAAGGTTGTGGCCACAACTGATGCCAATCATTCCAGTTGTTGTTATAATATACTATTAATACATTAAGTATAGTCAATAATCTGATACGCAATAGAAAGTCGAGATGTATTAGTCTACGACTTAAGGAAGTTCGCATTGAACTATCATGACAATAAAATAAATTTTGGGATATTTAAAATATATCCATGACTATGCATCGCACTATAATAAGTATCCTGCGGTTATTGAGGGATATAGTGATGGAAATTCAATCACCAGATCAACCTAAACTAAATCCACAAGTGGATATTTTTTACAATCAGTGGAGGAGCAGTGTCTTGGAAATAGTCCAAACAAACGTGCATTGCCGCTCTACAATGGAGGTTGAGTTTATAGCCTTAGACAAGGCGGATGAACAAACTGAATATCTTCGAAATTACATCTTAGCCCAAAATATTGGCATCTATATGCATACATTGCGTTGGTCAAGCGGAAATAGAAAGGGCTGCGAGCGTTATGTATAACGAAAAATCTCGCTATACGACGAAGATATATAACTGTTAGCCAACTGCTCTATAGGGGAGTTATCACAATTGACTACTTGAAGTCAAGCGATAATGTGTCGATCCACTTACAAAAGGTCTAACTAGAGAGGTAGTTGAAACATCATCGAGGAGAATGGACTATGGCGGAGGACATGTCATTATGGCAGTAACTCTACCTAGAAGACTGGAGATCGCAAGATTAGGTTCAAGGAGATCAAACAAAGTCATTAATGATGGTTCAACATTGTCAAATAAAATTTTGGTCCATTCTTATGATAAGACAATGTTCAGTACCAAGGATAAAACATTAAGGCTTTTAATGGTTTCTAAGTTTGATATGGGGTATATCAAATAATACATCTACGGAATAACACATTTAGGGATCACTTATGTAAGTGGAAGTGTAAGCCGCTTCAAGGAGAATTCGTAAGGCCAATTCTCTATGCACTTATGAAACCAGGCGGTGTTCATGGTTGAAACGAACACAACAATGAGAACCAAAGACGGTTAAGGGTTGATTGTATGACTTATGGTTGTCTAGGTATACACCAAAGCTCGACGGTTCAAAGATATCAATTCTACCAATTGACCAAGTATATCTGACATATGTTCACTACGAAAAGTTCAAAGGGAAACCTACTTATCCAGATGCGATTAATCCTTACGTGCGAATCACACAGTATTTTCATGCATGTTTTTACACATATGTCCATTCCTCATTCATGTGGGGGATTGTTGAATTTTTCTGTAAAGGGTGTGAATGGAAAATGGAAGAGGCACCTTTTGGGTTGCATCTCTTCATCTCACACTTTCATTGTCTATAAATTTAGAGGCTTAGCCTTAATTTTTCATTCGTGGAAAATATGAAAACTTCTCACATCTTTTCTACATTGTTGCATTATTTTTTCACGTAAACTAAGTATCAAGTTTGATTTGCTCCATTTGTTGAATTCGCTGAAGTTCTGTAATTTCGATTGCCAGTATTACAGAATAGTTTTTCCGTTCTATCCTGGGAGGAAGTAATCCATAACCTGGTCCAACAGTGAGAGGATTAAATTCCTTAAGGACACACAGGCAACTTGTGATCTCGGAAATTATTTATGTTCTCTTTTATTGAACTAATAACTCTTTTCTTCTCCGATTTTTTGGTTTGGAACACAAATTACTAACACCTAGGGTGTGTTTGGTATAACGGAAAATGTTTTCTTGAAAAACAAGTAGTAATCTTATTTATTTTCCGGTGTTTGGTACGCAAATTAAGGAAAATGACTTCTCAAGAGTATTCATAAATAATTTAGATACAATAAACATGAAGCCATAAACTTTCAAACCAACAACCTTCTGAACCCACAAATTTCATAAACTTTCGAACCGCTAAACTTTCAAAACCGCGGAATTTCGAACCCGTAAACTTTATAATTTCTAAACCTGTAAAGTTCCAAACACATAAACCTCCGAACTCATAATTTTAGAACTTGTAAAATTTTGAACCTTTAAACCGATAAATAAAAAAATTAAAACTGAAAAATATATTTAGAAAATATTTTTTTTTTAGGGGGGGGGGGGGGGGTAGGGGTGAGGGGGTTGGGTAGTGGGTGGGTACGAAAAAGAACGAAGAAACAGAAATTAGTA